TTTTTATGAATTACCACAGTTTGTGGTATCTGTTATAGTAGCAGAAAATGGACTAAGATGTCCTGCCACACATGAACCACTATCTCTTTGAGGGGCAATTTCTCCTGGTGGTCAGAGTTAATGCTCCAGCAAAAGCAGACACACAGACTGGGTGGGGATGGACTATCCAAGATTCAAATAGGACAATCAGCTGCAGGTGAACTCTTCCTAAGCGGTGGCCCTTGTCCCAGTTTCCTGGTAATTCCTATCAACATTGCCTCCCAGGGAAAATGATCTCTTCAAGACTCCTCCTCAAGTAGCTGGCCTCCCGCCTCACAGCTTGTCTCTTCAACTATCCCATACACTTTCCCCACCTCTGAGTATCACACCCAGCTCACATGACCTCAGTGGCACCCTTCTTCTCAGGGCACATAGGGACAGTGGTCCAAAAAATGTAGCCTATACCTTTGGCTCCCAACATCTTGAAAGCAGTATGTTGAAAAAAATAATGGGGGTGCTGGGGTTGTGGCTCAGTGGTAGGGCACTTGCCTCGCATGCATGAAATACTGGGTTCGAGCCTCAGCACCATATAAAAATAAATAAATAATAATATTGTGTCCATCTACAACTAAGAAAAATATTAAAAAAATAATAATGTGGGGATGGGGTTGTGGCTCAGTGGTAGAACACTTGCCTAGAATATTTGAGGCACTGGGTTCGATCCTCAGCACCACATAAAGATAAATAAATAAAGGTATTATGTCCATCTACCACTAAAAAATTTTTTAAATATTTATTTATTTGTAGATGAACACACAGTATCTTTATTTATTTTTATGTGGTGCTGAGGATCGAACCCAGTGCCTCATACATGCCAGACAAGCACTTTATCACTGAGCTATAGCCCCAGCCCCCTAAAAATATTTTAAAATAATAATAATAACACTGTTTGTTGGATAAATGGCTGTTTAAAATATCCAGGGCCTAGAAGCCACAAATCATGCTAGGTGCACTTGACAGAGCAACACCAGGGCTGGGGGTATCCGCCAGCACTCCCAGACCATATAGGAGACTAAGGCTTGTTAATTGAGACCCCAGGTATGAAAGCCCCAACTTAGGGCCTGGTACATAGGTGCCCAGTAAGTACATGGGGAGTGCCAGGAACCCAAGAATCCCAACCCTGGATGGGCATCATCTAGAGCCTGAATGAGGTACACCGAGCACCTTGTACAGACTGAGACACAGTAGGCAGCACAGGTTAATTGAGAGTAACATGCAGCTTCTTCATCATATCCCTGACTAATCCCAGCACTGGGGTGGGGACCAGATGGCCTGAGACTGTCTAGGCAGTGAGAGAGCACAGAGAAAGTTCTATTTCCACCCCCCAGATTCCTCCAGGGAGCCAAGCTGACTCTCCTCTCTTCTATCTCCGGAACTCCCATCTCTGCTCTGACTCTACTTTGGAGGGAATTTCAAGGGTGGTGTAGGCAGGCCCTGCTGCAGGTCAGAACCTATGCACACACCCTCTTCCACTTCTCCTTACTCTTGCAATGGAAGTTGGCTTTCTGGAATCTCTGTGCTCTGTGTCACTGAGCAAATCATTAGAGGTTGAGGGTATGCTGCAGAGACAAGGGGCAAACTTAAACTGGGGCCCATCTCAACATCATGTAAGGCTGTTTCTCAAATGACCTGGTCATTCAAGATCTGAACTGTCTCCCAGCACCTGTCTCATTTAATCTTCTATGAGGCTTATGACACCATTCTTAGTCTCACTTCACAAAGAGGACAGAGATTGTTTAATAAGTGCTATAAAAGTGTTAATTAAGTTGCCAAGATCCTTATGGAAATGCTCCAAGAAGAGCTAGGCTTTCTTGCCACTCAACCTTATTCCTGGAGACAAGTGGACCCAAAAACAAAACAATCCCAGGACAGCCTCTTTCCAGACCACACAGTCAGAAATGAGATGACCAGCCTAGACCTTGACCCAGGCAGTGAGAACCCTTGAAGTCTGGCCCAGCATCTCCATCACCTGCCTGTGGCTCTGTGGCTCATGCTGTTCCCCTGCCAGTTATCAAAGGTATGGAGCAAGCACTGAGTGTAGAGGTCAGAAGACCTGGGTTGCAAGCCAGACTCTGCCTTCAGCACCTCAGATTGGTTTGGACTATGGGAAGGGTTCCTGAATATAGGGTCCCTCTAAGCTTCAAAGGGTTCAAGAACCCTCTAAAGGAGAATGCAAAGCCTGCCATGTAGCTTAATGGCAGTGCATCTTTCTGGGGACGGATTTTATTGTCTCTCCGAGGGCTCTGTAAATTTAAAAAAAAAAAGTTATGAGATCCCAGACTGTTTGTTTTGTTCTGTTTTGTTGGTGCTGGAGATTAAACCCAGGGCTTAGCAGTACCCTGTCTACCACTGAGCTACACCCTAGCCCCATTTCTTACATCTTTGATTATAGGAAAGCCTGGTATCCAGTGCCACACAGTCTTGCAGGGGTCTCTGCCCTGATTTCCTTGATTAGGCCTCCAGCCCACAAAAGAGAGCAGGGCCATCCCAAGGCTAGAATTTCATAAGATTCAAGTATACCCCAAATATGTGTCTCATGCCCCCTCTCCCCCCCATGGCCTCTGTCTCATGGCAGGCAGAGACTCTCAATGCAATGGACCACAGGTGCATCAGGGCCTTGAATTCACTTCTTCTGGATGCAGCCCTTGGAACATCACTGAGTCATGCTCCTGTGAGGAAACTGGTTTTCATTAAATAGAGTAAAGGAGTCATTTACTGCCAAATCAAGAAGAGGCAAAGTTCTGCTAGAAGGCTTAGGGAGGGTGAGGGAGACCAGCCTGTCCCTTGCCCTCCTCAGCTGACTGGGGGAGGGGGAGGGAAGCTGGGCTCCTAAGGGTCCAACAACAGCAGCAGGAGGAGCTGGGGGTGGAGAGTGGGGGAGTCTTGGTCCAGATAATAAGCAATTGTTAATGTGATCCATATGGATCCTGACTGGCCTCTCTGTTTAACAGGATGATAATGGCAGGGAAAGAATGCTGGTCTGTGGGGAAGAGAAGGGGCAAAGTCCTCCCCAGACTTGGGGGGTGGGGAGGGCCATCAAGAAGGAGGAAGAGGGGGAAGAAAAGGAGCAGGAGCAGGAGGGGGAAGAGAAGGAGGAGACCCACCCAAGGGGTCTTCACCACCCAGGAGGGCAAAGCTATTTACCTGAAGTGGTCAGATTCCATGCTTTGTAAGCTGCCTGGCTACATGCCCTTAGGAAACTCCTTTTACTCAGCCAACAGATATTTATGGAGCATTCACAGGGTACCAAGCCCTGTGGGGGCAGGGGGCAAAGGGAATACATGCTCCACCTCTGTCCTTCCCAAGGCAATACAGACACAAAAGCAGAAGGGAGCACAGGTGCAGGGCTAGGGGACCACAAGGGAGGCAAAAGTGAGGGGAGCTGGAGGTTCTGGGGAGATTAGACTTGAGGAAGTGTGGCATCTGATCTGGGCCTTGAAGAATGAGGAGGTTGTGGCAAGACAGGGACAATGGGGAAGACATTTGGCTGAGGGAACAGCAGGAGCAAAGGCAGAGAGGCGTGAAATTGCGTGGAGAGTCTGGGATCTCAGCAATAAAGCTGCAGCCCAGTCAGGGAAGGGGAGGGGATTCTTGATCCATAAAAAGCTTGGCCATGTATGACCAGGAGGAACACAGGAAAGGGCTGTGGGACATGGTGCTGGCTCCCCTACCTCCCTGGGGTTGTGTACTGGAATTGTCCAATTGGGATCCTCACCCCAGCCCACCACCATATCAGTCAAAGAATTGTAGGCTCAACTTATCCTTGTGTCCTTCAGCACCCTCTTCTCCTGGGGAGATGGAGGACCCCTGAGGACTGGTGAAATCTGGGTCTCACCAGGAGCAACTCCCTCGGCTACATGGCCCACAAGGACTTCCCCCAGGAGATATCACAGCAAGGTTATAGGGTCACTTTCTGGCTGCTGCGGACACCAATGGAATCAAGTGGAAATAAATGAAATGGTGTTAAATATGGGAAAGGGGGGATTTATGAGACCTGTCACACAGTGGAGCACAGCCACCCGGCAAGCTCCGCCCCTTTTCTCGCCCACCCCAGGAAGTCCCGCCCCACCCCCTGCCCCCAACAGCTCTCCTGCAGCAGGGTACCCGCACCCAGCTGTTGGGTCGCCACAGCCCAGCAGCGCGAGCGGTCAAAATAGGGTCCTTGGGGGCTGAGGCATAGCAAAGAACGGCGTTTGCTCCTGGCTTAGGAGGCTCGGGGGAAAGACCGATTCCAGAAGGATGCTCAGGAGGTTCGGATTTGTCTCTGGGAGGATTCGGGACTCCCTTTGCGGGGTCAGAGGTCTTGGGACTGCGGCATCTCCCGGCCCATTCTAATGACTGGGCAACTCTAAGAAAGACACAGTAACTGAATGCCGTTAAGCCCTGAGTGGGACTGGAACCGGGTCCCCACTCCTCGCTGCGGGGCCGAGGGCAGAAGCTCGCTCCGCCGCTGCAGCCCGTGCGGACGGACTACAACACAAACATTCTTCCGTCCTCTATTCTCCTCCAAATTAGGTAGCCATGGAGACAAGGCCGGCAGCCTGACAGCCCCACTGCCTAATCCTGATTTAGTGACGGTCCCTTTAACAGCCCACCCACCCGTCCACCCACCCCTGCGCTCCAGGCCGCCGCGGGGTGCAGGCTGCAGGCCGCCAGCACTCTACCCCGCGCAGACCCCTTCTCAGGCCTTCAGTCAGAAGGGACACCGAACCGGAGCGGACCGGCAAGGGATCAGCATTTCTGAGCGCCTAGTGGGGTGTCCAATACTCTGCAGAGGACCCTCAGTATTGGAGGCGTCTAGCATGGGAATCTGTGTAGACCAGGAGAGGGCTCTTAAAGTGGGGAAGTTTAAGGGACTCTCTAGAGAAAGTTGGGGTCTCCCTTGTAGCCAGGAGCCCTACGTGACTGTAAGGGCAGCTTCGTGTAACACCCTAACCCTGAGATGGGGCTCTGCTCTCCAGGACCAGAGAGAAGAAATGAAGAGCCTGGGCATTAGGAGCGAGGGGATCCGAAGTAGCCTCAGTCTCCTGTCACTGCCCCGTCACCATGCTGGGGAATCTCCGGGCCAGTAACCCAGCCCCCACCCCCTCCCACACACTCAGGGGCCGCTGGACAAAGACCTGACGGAGTGGGAGGGGCCTGCGGGCCAGCCCTCGGGCTCCGACCGCAGGATCCTCTGGGACCCGAACCCACAAATCTTGGCTTTTGCCCCCTACCCCCCAACCTCCCCAGAGCAGGCTGCTTGCTATCCCTGCAGCCTCGACACCAGAGAGGACGGCCAAACGGGTGCCCGTCGGCTGCCCCAGCGGCTAGCCCCTACGGTGCCCGCCCCCTCCCCCCGGGAAGTGACCCTGGGCTCCCACGCACCCGCTCGGGTCTCTTGCCGGCCTTGCCCTCCGACCTCCGCTTAGTTGAACCCCGCGACCCGCAGCCCCCGCCCTCGCTGGCCCTCGCACGGCCCTGCGCCCGCGGACAAAGCTCCGGACACCCTGACCGAACAGTCACCACCCCCTGACCCCGGCCCGCCCGCGCGCTCCCGCGCCTGCCCCCGCCCGGGCCCGCGACGCGTACCTCGGCATCCCGGCCGGGTCCTAGGTGAGTGTGCGCGGCCTGGGGGGGCGTCCGGCTCGGGGACCGGGGCGGGGGAGCGGGCCGAGGGCGACTGGCCGGGGCTGGGGGGCAGCGGCGCTCACCATCCTGGAACCACTGCTGCTGCAGCTGCTGCGGCCACCGCGGCCGGGAGCGGGACTGGGCAGTGGGGGTGGCCGGACAAGGGGCGGCCCCGGCTCCCCCCGCAGGCAGGACCCCCACCCTGCCTCCCCTCTCCCGCCCCCAGCGCCCTCCCTCTCAGGCCCTCGCTCCCCTCCCTTTCCCCTGCTCCTCCCCTCCCGAGTGTCCCTCCCCCAACTCCCGCCCCTACTCCGGCCCTCTCCACCCCGCTCCTTCCCGCCCCGCCCCCACCTCCCCTGGGCTCACCCGGCCCCTCGGAGCCGCCCTCCCCGCCGGCCCCGCCCCTCGCCTCCCCTAGCTCTAAAATAAATTAGCCACAGAGGGGAAAAAGAGCAAATGACCCTCGGTGTGGAGAGTGTCCTTGCGCCACTCTCAGGCCCGCCCGCCCGCCCCCGCCTTCCCCGGGCCGTCGGAGCGGGAAGTTGGGATGGGGGTGGAGGGGGGATGGAGGCCCGGCGGGCAAGTAGGGGTGGTTGAGCAGCCGGGGGAGGCGGGGAGGGCGGGAGCCCGGGGTTGTGCCGCCCGGATCGCCGAGCGCGTCCGCTGGGTGTGAGCGGCTTCCTGGGTCGAAGGGCAAAAGGGAAGTCGACTGACCCGGGTTCGCTCCGTCCGCGAGCTGCTCAGGACCCCCTCTGTCACCAGGGCCCCTTTGCCAAAGCCGTGTTGACCCACGCTTACTTCCCCCGCCCCAGGTGAGCTGAGCACCTACTGCGTGCCGGACTCTGCTGCGCCGCCAGTCGGGACGCAGAGGGCAGGACGCAAAGCCAGGCAAGTCCACAGCTCCGCACCAATGCCACCCGACTGCGGGAGGGTGGAGGGTGAAGGGAGAAGGGCAAGCCCTGGACGTAGGCAGCGGCCTGGGGTGTGACTTTTTAAACCGCGGGCTTCACTAGAGGGCTTCCCCTAGGAGGCGGCATTCACACTGTGGGAAGCTGGAGAGAATGTGAAGGATGCGTCTGAATCCTCTAGTCGGCTTATTGGCATCCAAAAGCATTCAGTGATTGCTGAGTTCATTCAGCAGATGCATGTTGAGCTTCTACTTTGCGCCAAGCATTGGGCTAGCTCTGGGGATACCTAAGAGAATCCAAAAGCACTGCCCTGCCCTGGTGATACTCCTAGTCAAAGAGTCCTAGAGTCCTGCAGGCACAAAACTTTGCATCACTGGGGAAAAAAATCCAGGACCTCCCTTTGCCCGGAAGGCCGTCGGAGCAAGGGCTATACTTAAGGTGAAAGGTCCAGATAAAATTCTGGAGAGACACTGAGCATCCAGAAGGGTCCCAAGGACATCAATCTTTCCACCCATGGGCAGTGCTCAAGTGCCCTCTTTTCTGAAGTGTTTTTATTTTTTCCTTTTGGAGAGCAGCTCATCCTGCCTGTCAGTAGAGCAAGACTGACCTTGTGGCCCTCACCACCCCTGACTCCCCGACTCCCAACAGGCTATGTCCTTCATTTAGCAGAACTCTAAACACTACCTTCTCCCTTCTAATGAGAAGGAGGCTCGGCTCTGACAGACCTGGAGCACCTGGGTAAGTGCCATTCACAGAAGGGGAAGACCCTCAATAGCTCACTTTTTTTTTTTCCAGACCACATATGGGAAGCAAGACCAGCATCAGGAAGGTTCTAGAACTCACTTTACCACCTCCAGAATTCTCTCTTCTCCAAATTCATTCTCAAGACTTCACCACTGCACAGAGGAGGAATATGCTGAGGTTCAGAGTGCTGGGGCCCAGCTTCAGAATCAGAAAGGCAGGAGGCTCAGCCACCATCCTGGCTGAGCAGAACCCCCAAGCAGGAGGGATAATCCCATGATAACAACAGGAAGGAGCAGCTGGGATCCAATATTTTTTTTTATTTATGGTGCATCTGAGGCCCAGAGAGAAGTGACATGTCTGAGGTTATACAACAGAGTTGGACCTAGAATCCACTATATACTTTCTATCCCACTTGTCAGCTTCCTCAGGGGCCAGAGACAGGAGTTAAGATAGAAGCCCTCAGCCCTCAGTATTAGTGCCTTCCTGCTGGGACACCAAGCGTAGCATTGCAATGGGAGTGTCTGGGGGCATATGCCACCAGGCTCAAGGGCAGGGGTTGTGATAGGAGTGGGGTTGGACTGAAGGGCCTGGCTTGAAGGACTTGCTGATGTGCACCCTGGAGTTCTGTTTTACTTACCCTTCTGGAAAGAGAACCTCCCTGTGCATGTATGAAGGCCAAGGTTAAAGATAAGGAAGGCCTTGCTTATTCCATGGTAGGACAGGTCAGTATGCTAGAGAAGGCCTCTTTGGGACTCCATCAGGTAAGGTCAGCATCTTGGCAATACTAAGTTGTTCTTTTTGCCATGTTTTTCATTAAAGGGGTTTAGTTAGCAGGTGGGGGTGAGATTGGTCACTTCACCCCTCCACCCCTATCCTGCATCAGCACTCAGGCAGTGAAGTGTGCCTCTTCCTCTCTGAGCTCATTAAAATCCTGTTAATACATCATCCTTCCTAATCTGACAAATACTCAGTCCTGGCAAATGGCCTTGCACCAGATCTCTACCTCCTGTCCTCTGGGCCAGGTCCTGGGAGTCTAATCTCTGAGGACTACTGGCTAACCCTTCTTCTCAAGGCAAGGGATCTGTGCCTTGAGAGCCCCTTGCTGAGGTCATTGAGATCATCCCAGGGCAGGTCAAGTGCCCAGCAATGGATTGGATAATAATAGTGGTAATGATGGCATAATGCCTGACTTCTATGGAGGCCCCTCCATTCATTCCCAGCCCTTTTGCTTGTATCACATCAAAAATAGAGAATCCCACTCTCACCCTGCCCCAGGCGGCAGGGGCTGTGCCTGGATGTGCAGCCAAGTGCCATCCCATGCATAGGTGGGGGCATAAGTATTTGGGTAGGAGCCTGTGTGAAGTGTCAAACCTTCCTGGCCCAGAGACCAGCAACAGGCACTTTCCAAAACATTCAGAAAAACAACCCGCTGGCTCAGGGAGAATCCATATGAAGTGTTTTGGAGGGAGGGAGGAGAAAGAGGGAGGCAGTAGAAGCCAAAGTAAGGGAGGGAGGAACAGGTGGAGCAAGGAGGAAGGAAATAAAATGGCCTCTGAGAGAGGATAGGGGTAGAGAGAGGAAAGGGAAGGAAGAAAGAAATGGAGGAAAGGCAGAGGAAAGGGCGGGGAGACCTCTCTTTGTGGCCCTGTAGCTGGCCACTCAGAAATCATTATAGGCAGGAAAGGAAGGAAATGTGTCTTGGCCGGGGAACTGGGGTGTGTGCCCAAAGGACACCACACCCAGCTGGCTGCTACCCCCTGCATGTTCGCCAGGGCCCAGGCTGCTCTCCCTACAAATGGAAGCTCTAGCCCTTCTCCTGGCTGTTTGGGCTTCAAGACCCAATTCCCAGGGCCTCTCCAACCCTGCTCAATCCCACCCAACCCTTCCTGTTTATGAACTGATACCAGCTTTGTCTTCCCCTGGGTCACAGGTTGTGTCTGGGTCCAGTCCCCACCCCACAGCCAGCTGAGGGACCACTAGGAACCACTGTGAGAATCAGGAAGAATGCTCCTTCCTCTGCACAGATCCACTTCTGTGCAAGGCCACTCAAGATTTGGAGGAGGAGCTGGGACTGGCCATCAGCCCCCACTTCACCTCTGTCAACCCAACACTTGGGGACCATGATATCACACTTCCAAAGTCCTTACCCCACGCGGGCCCCTAATGTTTAATGTGAGTTCCTTATAGTCCCACAGAACCTCTCACTAAATACTCACCCCATTCGAATACCTGGGTCTCTGTGCCTGGAATCTCATTTCCCTACTCTACCCAGTGAACATCTATTCATCCTTCAGAACCCAACTAGATGTGCCCTCCTCTGTGAAGCCCCTGCCTGTCCCCCACCCCCTGCAAAGCCAGTAGCACCACCTCAGAGCCTAATCCTACCTGTTCCCCAGAGTTCATGGGTTGGTCCCAGAATCCTGCTACCTAGAACCCACTGTCCCACCCCAACCCCAAAGGCAGAATACGCCATCAAATCCTGTATGACTTGTCCCCTAACTTGCCAGCCCCTCTGGAACCCCACTGGGATTCTCCCCTCCCACAACCTTACAGATTTAAGGCAGAATGGGAAACTGGAAATCCAAGTAGCCCAGAAGCTCCCCACCCCCACTCTGCCCTCACAGGAGCTGGTCCTGACCGAAGATTCCCAGCACATCTGGTTGTACTTAAATCATCCAGCACTGGACTGGGCTGCCTGGGCAGGTTCCCGCTTCTCTCCCTCCTGCCCTTGACTCCTCCCCTTCCTAGCCCAGCCTGCCAGCTCTCTCCTCCAGGAGGCCTTCCCTGACTGGCCTAGCCTCTGTACCTACACCCTTGACTATCTCTCTGGGTTGAGGGTCTAGAGGGTGCACGCTCAGCAAGGCTTGGTGTGTGGGCCCCCATCCTGCCTAAGCACTGATCCTGTATAGAAACCATCCCTCCAGACAGGGAGGGGAGCCAACCAAGTTCCTCCCCTCTGCTCCCTTAATCTCTAGGGTGGTTGCCCTCAGCATCTGGTGGTGTAGCAGGGAGGGAATCGGTTCCTTCAGTGCCTTGGTTCAGATAGACAGCCAGCAGATCCTGCTGCCGTCATTGTCCAAAAGTCTCATAAAATATTACGAAAGGGGAAGAGCCTGACATGGTGGTGTACACACCTCTAGCCGCAGCACCCAAGAGATTCCTTCAGCCCAGGAGTTTGTGCTTCGTGGTCACCATGGACAACATAGGGAAAAAAAAGAAAGAAAGAAAGGAGGTGGGGAGGGGTAATAAATGCAGATAATATAGCAAGTACAAAAAGACAAGGCTGGCTGAGTACAGTGGTACAGGCCTGTAATCTAGCAGCTTGGAAGGCTGAGGCAGGAGGATCAAGAGTCCAAAGCCTCAGCAACTTAGTGAGGCTGTCTCTAAATAAAATACAAAAAAAGGGCTGGGGGTGTGGGTCAGTGGTTAAGCACCCTGAGTTCAATCCCCAGTACACACACACACACACACACACACCAAAAAAAAAAATAGGTGACAAAGAATGGGATTGTGAGGTTATGGATCTACCATGACAGGCCCCACCAGGGCTCCATATTCAAATGTTCAGTCTTTCATTCCATAGCATGTACTGATGTCTATGAGTAGTAAGTTATAGGAATAAAGACTTGATTAACAATGGGCTGGGGATACAGCTCAGTTGGTAGAGTGCTTGCCTTGCATGCACAAGGCCCTGGGTTCAATCCCCAGTACCCCACACACACACACACACACAAAAGACTTGATTAATAAGACTCCAATACTTCCTAGAGAAATCGGGGAGTGGGGGGTGGGCAGTGAGAGGAGCAGGGGGATGAACAGACACAAGGTATGTGAGGGGCTTGAGTCAGGGGCAGGGTGCAGTGGTTGAGGGGCCAGAGCTGAGTATGGGCTCCATCACTTTCCTGCTGTTGTCCCTGGGAGCCACTTAACCTCCTGAAGCCTGTCTCCCCACCTGGAAAAGGGGATAGTGTGACCTCACAGAGTTGTGGTGGGATTCAAATAAGATAATGTGCAAATAAGATAATGTGTGTGGAGCACTTTCTCAAGTGCTAAGGGAGTTGTTGCTATTGTGATCATTAGCTCAGATGTTGCTCACTCGTGTAATGCTTCAACAGCTACCTGTGCTTACCCTCAGAGCAGAAGAGAAACTTCAGTGAAGGAGGCCTAGTCCAGGGCAGCAGGCAGCTAGGATGTACACACACACACACTTTGCTTATACAAGTGATAAAATACCTTTAAAAAAAAAATCAGAAAATATGCCTGGCATGGTGGCATGTGCCTTGGTCTCACCTACTCCGGAAGCTGAGGCAAGAGGATCACTTGAGTTCAGTTTAAGGCCAGCCTCAGCAATTTAGTGAGACCTCTGTATAAATAAATAAAATAAGGTACACCAGTAGGTATGTTTTTAAAAAATAAAAAATTAGACACCTTTAGGGGTTCGGCTGTGGCTCAGTGGTACAGCACTTGCCTAGAATGCGTGAGGCACTGGGTTCTATCTTCAGCACCACATAAAAATAAACAAACAAACAAAAAAGGCATTCTGTCCATCTCCAACTACAAAAAAAAAAAAAAAAAAAATCAAACACCTTTATCCCACTAACCAGAAGTAACCATTGGTAAATTCTTGGAATCTGCCAAATATAGATACAGATATGCGGAAAAAGAGAAAGATCTGCACAGCATTTTGCAATCTGCTTTTCTCAGTAGACAAATATTTTTCCTATCTGCAAAACACTGTATAATGGGGGCAGGGGGTATGAACCCTGGGTGCTCTATTACTGAGCCCTTTTTCTATTTTTATTTTGAGACAGGGTCTCACTAAATTATCAGGCTGACCTGGAATTTGCAATCCTCCTCTCTCAGCCTCCCCAGTACCTGGGATTACAGGGCTGTGCCAGTACACCTGGCTATTCCTGGGTAGCCTCACCTGGAGGAGCTCCCACACACACATGGTAGGTACTTACACTAAGTACTGAGGATGGAATGCTCCCAGGACCAGACCACTGAGTCAGCCTTTTTTTTTTTTTAAATATCCCAGCCCCCAGAATTGAACCCAGGGGTTCTTTACCAATATGCTATATCCCCAGCCCTTTCTGTTTGTTTGTTTGTTTTAATACAGAGTCTCACCAAATTGCTTAGGGCCTCCCTAATTTTTTTTAATCTCTATTTTATTTATTTATTTTTATGTGGTGCTTAGGATTGAACCCATGGCCTTGAACCCAGGGCCTCCCTAAATCGATGGGGTTGGCTTCCAATTTGCCATCCTCCTCTCCTCAGCCTGAGTAGCTGGGATTAAAGGCAGGTACCCCCCGCACTTTTGGGGAGGGTAACCTGGATGGAACCGAGGGGTGCTTAACTACAGAGCCAAATCCCCAGCCCTTTTTTATTTTCAGACAGGGTCTCGCTAAATCACTGAGGCTGGCCTCAAATGCTCCTGCCTCCAGCCGCTTGGATTACAGGTGTGGGCCTCCACATGGGCTATTCCACTTAATTGTTAATGACAGTTTAATATTCCACTTTTCGGGCATGATTAACAGGTTTCCTTCATTTTTCATTTTCCCCCAAGATAAAGTTTGATGAGTAAGCTTGTGAGGCCACCTGTGTGCGCACCTGTGAGATTGCTGCTTACAATCATTCCTGGGGACGTTATGGGTGCCTGTCCTTAGCTGCCAGGAGCCTCCAGGTGGCTCTTCCAGGACCCAGTACTTTCATCTCTCAGACCTGCCCTGGAAGCCCAGGAAACTGCCCTGAAGGCCTCACCACACCGCCAGGGGCCTGGGAAGAGCACAAAGCCACCAAGCCACCAAGCCACCGGAAGCCGCCCCGCCCTCCCGCCGACATTCCTCCCGACAATGGCTGCCTCGGGAATCCGCGGAATGAGGAGGCCCGTGGCCTCCCAAACCCACTCCCCTCCACCCCGCATCTATGCGTACCCGCTCCAGGCCCGCAGCCCCGCGCCCTGCTCCCCACGCCCATCCCCAGCGCCAGGTCCTTGGCAGGCCCTGCTGCCTCTCAGGCGGCTACTCTCCGACTGTAAAATGGGGGACTTGGGGTCAGTGGCTGCTGAATTCCCCACGGATCACAAACACGTAAAAAACCTGAACAGGTTTTGGGGCCAGAGTGCTCAGGTTGAAATCCGCATCTGCCCTAGTTTACCCTGTGAATTCAGTGCCCTGGGCCCCAGCTTTCCCCTAAAAGTGGGTTGATATATACCAGCACCTTCTCATTGGCCAACCAGAGGCTAATCTGTCAAAATCTATGAATGGGGACCAATGATTAACTCGGTCCAAAACCCAACTAGACACCATCCCCAGTCCTTTCTCATGCCCAGTGCAGATTTTGGCCCCTGGATATTTGCCCAACCATTGGCCACACCAATGGAAGCTAAGAAGAGCATCCCTCTGCAGGTTTCCATAACCCCTCCTATTAGCCATGAAGTTGTGAATGGGTAAACCCATAAAGAATTTGGGTGTCAAATAAAAGTTGAAAGGTAGGAAACCCATGTCAGGTCACATGTTCCTGTTTTTTATTTGGGAAACACAAGCATTTCTAAGGCAGCCAGCATTTGCTAGACACCAAGAGTGACAAGACTCCAGGCTCAGTCTTAGCAACTTAGTGAGACCCTAAGCAATTTGGCAAGACCCTGCCTCAAAATAAAAAATAAAAAGGGCTGGAGATCTCTAAAGAAGAAAGAAATTATGGCATTTGCAGGTAAATGGATGGAGCTGGAGAATATCATGTTAAACAAAGTAAGCCAAACCCAAAAAGCCATGGCCAGATGTTTTCTCTGATGAGATGATGCTAATCCATAAGGGGGGAGGGCGGGTGCAGTTAGGGAAGAATGAAGGAATTTTGGATTGTGCAGAGGGGAGTGGGGAGGGGAGGCGTGTGGGGATGAGAAGGACAGTGGAATGAGATGGACATTATTACCCTATATACATGCAGGATTACGCTACCCATGTGACTCTGCACTATGTTCAGCCAGAGGAAGGAGAAGTTGTCAGAATGCATTCTACTGTCATGTATAACTAATTAGAACAAATTAAAAAAAAAAAAAATGATGGGCTGGGGTTGTGGCTCAAACTTTGTGAGATTGCTTGCCTGGCATGTGTGAGGCCTTGGGTTCGATCTTTAGCACCACATATAAATAAATAAAACAAAAGAGCCTTTGACAACTAAAAAAAAAAAAAAAACATAAAAAGAGCTGGGGATGTGGCTCAATGGTTAAGCACCTCTGGGTTCAATCCCTGATACCAAGAGGTGGGGAAAACACTTCCAGGCTCTTAGTAAACCACTGGAGGATTAGTACAAACATACTTCAACAGTGAGCAATATGGATCTCCTATAAATATTTTTGAGCTATTTGCCACAAACCCTTGCCCAGCCATCCGCCAGTCTCCCTCATATACCTGTTCTCTTCCCCTTACTTCCTCCTCCTCAACCTGATTTCCATGTTCCCCTGAGTTTAAAATCCTCTGCTGCAAGTACTATTAAATTCACCTCACAATAGCTTGTACAATAAGAATACCATATTTCTTCCCATTAGGTGCCACCAATGTCAATAAGCACTGCTGCTTTATGTACCATGAGAAAGAAAAAACACTGCTGGTTAAACTGATAATAGTTTTTATCACTTAAATTTTTTTATTTTATATTTGCTGAAAAAGCTCTTAGACTTACATGGAAATTTTTAACATAAATTATTCTTGTACATATGTAACAAAGAAAATATAGGTGAAATAAATCACTTAAGGTGTTCTTAAAACTTTGTCAGAGTCTAATTCTTGGAATCACCTTTCAATTCTCAACCATCAATGTCTGTTTTTCCACACAATCATCATCTTAGAATATCATCAGTATTGGTGATAGAACTTTTTTTTTAATTTTTTAGATGGACACAATAATTTTATTTTATTTATTTATTTTTATCTTTTAGTTGTTGATAGACTTTTCTTTATTTACACACAGTGCTGAGAATCGAACCAGTGCCTCACACATGCCAGGCAAGTGCTCTACCACTGAGCCACAACCCCAGCCTGAAAGAACATTGCTTAAGAATGCTCTGCTGAATTTATTATCTATTGCTGCATAAAAAAAAAAAAACTATCCCAAATATTGGCAGTTTTAAGCCACAAAGCATTATTTCTCTTATACTCTGTAAGAGTCAGGAATCTGGGAATGGCTTAGCAGGATGGTTCTAGCTTATCATGGTCTCTTAGGAGGTTGTACTCAAGCTGTGTACCATGGGCATGGAGAATCCACTCCTAAGTTCACTGACATAGCTGTTGGCAGACCTCAGTTCCTAGTTGGTCATTGGCTGGATACTTCAGGTCCACACTATGAGGGCCTCTCTGTATACCTCCTGACTATCTTCACAACATGACAGCTGACCTCCTACACAGCAAAATAATCCAAGAGTATGAATGAGCATTCAAGACAGAAACCACAGTCTTTTGATAACCTAATATCAGAAGTGACGCATCATGATTTCTGCCATATGGTTTCAGACAGTCCAACTCCAGAATAATGTGGGAGAAGGCTGCACAAAGCTATAATAAAGAGCAGAGGTGAGGATCATCTGGGGCCATTTTGCAAGCTGCCCACCACTACCACTACTACCTCCAGGATTTCCTTTGAAGCCACATAGACATCATCCTATTATGATACTGGGAACACCATCAGATTCTCACATTCAAGGACAGCCAAGTCACAGAAGCTATCTAGCTGACAGAGACTAAGATGCTGTTGATTCTATGATGTTTACTGATTTCAAAAATGTTAAATATGCTTCTTAGAATGGACTAAACAGGATGTCACATAAGAAATCTTAAGAAGTGGTGGTTCCTGAGCTAATTCAGAGACTCAATTCCATCTCTAAGGACCCAGGTTCCTTCTGTCTCTATATCCTAACACCCTCAGCACATTTTCTGTGTCCCTGGATGGTTTCCCTCATGTTTACAAAATGCTTGATGCAGTTCAAAGCAGTCTGTGTGCATCCAACAATTCCTCCCAGGTGCCTTCTTTGAAGGGCAACAAAATCTTGCCCAGATACATCCAGATTTTCCCTCCTGTATAGTTAACCAGAAACCATACTCTGCCTCTTCTAATTAGAATTAAGTTTAGTTACATGTTAGCTAAACTCAGTGTGATTTACATAAGACTGAAGAATGTTTTTTCTCACATAAAAGTCACATGTGACTTTTAAAAGGCAGGCAGTGCTAGTGTCGGGGCTCTATAATGTCAGTACCATCAGGGACCCAGATGCTACCCATTTCACATCATTTCATTCTCAAATTCATCTCTCACTCCAAAATGGCTGCTGGAGTTCCAGCCACCAGATCTATGCTGGAGACCAAAATGAGCAAAAGAGGAAGGACAGGGGCTGGGGATGTGGCTCAAGCAGTGGCGCGCTCGCTTAGCATGTGTGCGGCCCGGGTTCGATCCTCAGCACCACATACAAACAAAGATGTTGTGTCCACCGAAAACTAAAAAATAAATATTAAAATTCTCTCTCTCTCTCTCTTTAAAAAAAAAAAGAGGAAGGACAAATGTTGGTCCTCAGCAAAATCGGCTTCCTTAAATGACCACCTCATATGTCCCACAGAACATATCTGTTTATATCTCATTGATCAGAACTTGATCACTAGCTGTAAGAGATGACAGAAATATTTTTTAGTTAGGCACTTGGTCACCTTAAATAAAATTCGATTCTTTAAGGAAGAAGAGAGGAAAATACATGTTAGGTGGCCACAGGTAGTTGTTTTCATGCTTAAACCAATCCCTGGTTAGAGGGCAGGAGTACTAAGACTGTACCAATGTATCATGATCTATTCCTGGGTTGCATATAGGTTTCAATCATTGATGTGGGATCGAGGTGGGATCCTTGCACAAAATCTAAATTCTAGAAATGAGAAAGAAGCAGGCATAAAACAATCACTAAAGGTAATTTACCAGCGACCATTGCCCTCCTAACTTGCTAACAAAATCTTGATCTTGCTGGGGAAACCAGGCTTCCATGCTCTTCAGGAAAGCTACCACCATGCCAAGCTATAAAATGGGAAATCAAAGAATCCATAGCTCTTTAGATTACTCATCATGAAGTGATATGCATGCCCAGCTACTGCCACCAGAGTACTAACCACAGCTGACATTTGGGACCCTTTGAGTGTTCACTTACTCTCTAGTGCCTCAAACAGGATGTTCCCCTACAGAGGATTTCCACTCCTTATCCTTTTCTTTGACTCTGTCCCTCCCTTCCTTCCCCTCTCTATTCTGCCCCACCTTCCAGGAAGTCTTCCTTGACTAATGTCTCCCCGTTCTGCCAAGTTCTCTATGGCCTCCCAGTAGGGACTAACCTTCCAGCTTGGGCCTCTATTCAACCTGCCTCCATTACCCATGCCTCCAATACAGACCACAGGCTTTCTCCATTCCAGCGTAGATAAAGTTCAGAAACAGGGATGCCTGCCTGGTAAAGGGAGGATGCCTGCCCTGGCCACTTCCCCACAGTCTGCTGGATGAAGGCTGGGAAAAGGGGGGCGGGGGTGAGAAGAAGGCCACCTGCCAGAGTGGCAGCAGACAGGCCAGCTAAATCCTTGACCTATGATTTAAGGGGTCGGGCATAGTTCAATAGAGCACTCCAGGCTTGAGTCCCAGCTCATTCACACAGGTCAGGGGGATGAAGGACTGGAGTGGAGGAGGGCCGTCCCCTCCAACAGCCCCTTGCTCTCAACCCTGGTCCTCTGGAACATAACTCAGAACCCCCAAACCCACAATCCCATCCTGATCTGTGCAGAAGCTGGAGGTGGGGGGCAAGACAGCAAGGAGGCCGAGCAGCTAGGTGGGCTAGCTAGCGCAGCGCAGGGCAAAGGCATACAGTAATAGCTCAATAATTTTCCTGTCAGTAATAGCTGAGCATTTTGTTTGGTCCCGAGGCCAACAACTCAGTCCAATTTCCAGATGGGCCCTGGACACTACTTCTTCTCCTTTGGAATTTTGCCCTAGAACCGGGAGGCTCCTGAGGTGGCGGGATTGTGGATGGAATCCCCCGAGGAAAACGGAGAGGTTTTCCGGGCATCGCTTTAAACGCTAGCCAGACCCCACAGCAGAACCAAGCCGGTCCAGCTCCCAGTCCTCCGCCCTCCTCCACCTATCGGGGTCTCCCCACACACCGCCCAAGTTTGCCCACAGGCAGTGCTATGCAAATGAGACGCAAAGCAGGCGGAGACAGCCGGAGGGATTGGCTGGCACCAGAGACTTTGCTGCCCAATCACGTGCGGCGGACAGCCTGGGCTCCCCCCAGCCAGAGCCGGGTCCCGCCCATAAATCAACTCGGTCAGCGTTAATGGCTCCTGACTAATTGCCTGGACTCGGGCTCCAGGGCTCGAGTCACCCACATTAAAATTCAATCAGGCCCAGCGCTGAGCTATTAAATATTCATTGGGAACGTTTCCCGAAACCGCGCTGGGGGATGGGGTTGGAGGCACTACCCGTGTCCCCAGCTCC